TAGATGGAAGGGGTGTTACTGTTGAATGTCCGTCAAATCACAAATGACAAATTTGCGAATAAAATCGCTTATATAATGTGCATTTTCAAAACCCACTATTATGTGTGAAAGACACATAATACTATATATAAATGGTTCCTGCATCCTTTGAATATTTTTTAACAATTACAATCAACATTGTCAATGAAAATTGTTCCTGTGCATATTTTTACCATAAATATACTTTTATTATTTCAGGTGTCATACATATACTGCAGATAATTCACTAAAGCATATGAAACAAACACAACACCTACCCCAACAGGACACCACTGATATTCCTGAATTTTAAACCTATGCAGTATTTATTTTTACCTTGTTTTATTGTTTGTTCGTTATTGTGGGGAAAGTCCGGTATTTCTGACTCCACAGACAACATTCTCCTTTAGCAGGTTTTGTCCATTAAATGCAAAGTCGATTTGACTAAGGATTTACTGCACTGAAGATGCTATGAGCAAATGAGAAGGGATTGAGATGCTGCTCTGGAACTGCCTCCAGACACAAATTCATTGACTTTGTAAATTGTGAATTTGCAAAATAGCTTTGAGCCGTACCCTGCCAAATACGCTATATAAGTTGTGCATTTGCATTTCAGACCCAGAGTCATCAAACTTTACCGATCAAAAGTACATCCAAAGAAATAAACCAGATTGCAATTAAAATATGCAATATATAATGTCAGCTTAAAATAGTGCATGGAACGTCTTCTGCATCGATAATTAATAAGGCACGCACAACACATAAGTGATTTTTAACTAGAATAGTCGATATACATTGCGGTATTTTTATATGCATTTGTGACAGAGTTGTGTTTATAAACTAAGGATCACCGTGTGAAGAATGTTTAAGAGCCTGTGTGTTCGTTTTCACTCTGCCACTTAATGAATACATTCAGCAAAGTGTGAACTTTTTTTTTATAGAGCTTTTTTGAGAACAGGCCTACAGAATTCATTATTGGGATGTGGGTTTAAAACTATAAAGTATTTTTATTCATTGACAGTAAATAAAAAACATGCTTAGTAAAATGACAAACAAAGCATGAAATGTATGTTCACCAAACGTCATTCATACATGTAATTCTAGCATCTAGAGTCATCTGGAGCTGGGAGATCATTTCTGTGAGAGTTAAAGGAGTTAAAAATGGAACAAAAAGTTTGAGGCCTGTCGATGATGGTTGTCTCTCACACTCCTTACTGCCCAACGTCCTACTTCAGTACTGTTTCCAAGACGATTGTTTCTCTTTTGACTTCCCCAGTCTTCAAACTTACATACAAGTGACACAGTAATGGGCAAAGTTGGAAAAAAAGATACTTGAAAGTTTAAAGGTTCTTTAAAAGATCTAAACCAACACAACAGAAGAACACAAAGTCTACCAAGCAACCTGAGCACATTGTGTGTCTTAGCAAAACAAAATACATACTGTGCATCCTTGTTTTAACTCACTAAAGTTGCCTCCTCAAAAAGAGAACATGCTGATAATATTTTATTGCTACAAGTTTCTCATCAATATCTTGCAAATGCAAACAACTTATAAGCCAAATTTCTACAAAGTGAATGCACCGATCAGAAAGCATACATGTAAATTAAGCACATGTTGCTTCAGAATTAAGAATTAAAAGCACTCCCTTAGAAAACAGGGTTGTGGGTGTATGGATTAAACTAGCAACACATTATGGAAGCTCATTCTCTCTGGTTCCTCAAGAAACAGCTTGTTGTGGTTCTTGGATCAATAAGCTAAAAGCAGCCAGACTAGCAAGAAGCACTGAACAGTCTCCACACATCTGTTGTGTTCTCATTCAGCTATGTTATTATTATATACTGTAGGTTTTACAGAGAGGAAGAAAGGTTTTTTGAGGAGCTGAATTAGAAAGGATGGAAAATACGCTAACGTATTCATAATGAGTTATTTAAAAACTGAAGACAACAATAAAAATGTAAAAACAAAAAAGACTGAATAAATTCAACCAGAATGTCTCTTCATTATTGCTTTGAAACCGATCTAATGAATCCGTCAGATAATAAGTAATAATTAACCTAAATAATGATATTTTATTTTTTATGAATGCTACAATTTTAAACGAGACATGAAAAAGTCAAGTTTAAGGGAATTTTAGGGACAATGACAATGAATTTTTTTTTCCAGTATTACATCCTTTAAAGTTAGCTTTATGTACCCTGTACAATACCTTCATGACACCTTCTGGGAAGGTACATAGGTACATAACAGGCTACACTCATAACCCTATAACTGTTAATCAAAGACATAACTGTCACACAAATTTTCAGAATAACTACCCTAACTTAGCCTA